CACATACGTTTTTCTCAAAACCACGTAGATATATTACATATTTCATACTACGTAACAATAAATACTTACAAATGCCACATTAAAATATAATATGTATACCAATATTACTGTACTATACATTGTAGGAAACAAGATAAACGTATACATATATGTAATAGTACTAGGACTAAAAATGAATGTAGAGCAAAAACATAGGAAACTGTCAAGGCATTTATACATATTCTTTTCAAGCTAACACGGGGATCAAATCAAACACAAGCAAAATCGGAAGGGCTTAAAACATAAATATGACATTATCTAAGCATTATGAATTAGGACTAAAACGTAAACAAGGAAGACTTCAAAGGTCCGAACACAAAAATGGTCCACGTATCATTTAAAGACTAAAATATGAACTTACAAGTGATGAGGGATCCAAATGGATTTTAACCCAAACACACGTATCAACATAATAGTGACTAAAATAAATGCGTGACAAAATAAATGCGTGACAAAATTAAAGGCTCGAATCATGATAAACATAAACTTGTATTTCGTGACTAAAATGAGACATTACAAAATCTCGAACCTCTCTCTCTCTCTCTCTCATAACCCATGCGCCGGTTCTAAACTAAAACGACATCGTTTTGAAGGGTTTAAATACCCCATTATGACATTTTTCAGAAATCATACTTTCCCATTTCTTTCTCCCTAGCCATTTATCTCTTCTCAACCCCTCTCTTCTTTGTGTTTTCATATTAACCGAGAGAGGGGATAAAGTCCTCTCTAGTGACACCTGAATGGCATCGATGAGGGGCCGACGAACCCCTTTTCACTCCCTAAAATTCATCTTTTTGAACTTCTAAACCACTTAGCCTCAAACCCAACTCAAATCTTTACCATCTCCCAAAAACAGCCCTAAAATAAAGCGAAATAGACTACCTTGAAGCTTTTTTTAAATGCTTTACTCGGGTGGTACAAGAATCTTTAGGTTCTAGAGGTAAAAAAATCTTCCTTTTTAGTCTTTTTTTTGGGTTCTTTGCTTTCTCTTTTTTTTTTTTGAATTTTTCTCTTCTGTTTTTTTTCCTCGCCCGAATGGTCTCTCTCCTTTTCTTCTATTCTTTCCTGATGGATTCTGATTTTATGATGCCTTCTGAAGCCTTGAATCATAGGGTATGCTTATCCTATCTCAATATTTGACAGCCCATTGATTTTTCTCGGGATTTATTTTGTACAAATAGATTTTTATATTTGTTTTTCTTCTCTGACTGCTTTTCTTTTGCTTGATTGATTTGTGATGGCTGGCTGAAATGGCGGCGACGTAAAAGGCTCGGACGACGACAGCGGGAGCTGGACATGGCTCGGCTTGAGCGGCGGCAGTGGGAAGCAGCTAGGGTTCCTGAACCTTAATGTAATATGGATCATTGGATCTGAACAGATCCAACGGCTAGACTAGCTGGTGGCCAAAGGGTTTAGATGAAAACCCTAACTTCAAGCGATCTGGACCGTTGAATGAGTTCAGATCTAACGGCTAGTGTTGAGGCGGCGCTGGAAGGGTTACCATAACCCTAATGGGCCTCTTCATTGGGCCAGCTGATTGGGCCTTATTTACTGTTGGGCTTGCTGATTGTAATCTGGATTGTTGGGCCACTAGTCTACTTGCAATTTAGCATGTTTGAGCTGATCTTGTAATCTGTAATAATAAATAATAATATTAATAATAATAAAATAAATAAAAATAAATCCAAACTAAAACGAGTGTCAACATAATTAATTATTTATAATATATAAAATTATATAATGTTGAAAATATTTTGATGTTTCGATATAACAAATTAAGTATAAATGAATTTTAAGATTTTACAAATGATTTTCTAAGTATATTCGATTTAATTACTCGAATATCAAAATATTATTCCAAGTCTTTCAAAGATCAATTTCAATCCTTATTAAAGTGTAAAATTGTGTTTTAATCTTAAAATAATTTTGAAATAATTTTCACAAAGTATTTCGAACAAAAAACGAGTCTAAAATCAAATTTTCAAAAGATTATATCGATGCACCAATCCATGCATCGATGCACCATTGAATAAATTGAATATCGAATGCATTATATGTATCGATGCACTCAGGTTTTTATGAAAATATCGAATGCATCGATGCACAAGACATGCATCGATGCACTCTGGCTTGTTTGAAACATCGAATGCACTTCATGCATCGTTGCACTCTTAGTGCACCGATGCACTGAGTGTCCAACGGTCGAAATATTTGAATTTTACACATAGTGTACCGATGCACTAGCCTTATGCATCGATGCACCAGACGCTGCTAACTGTTTTATTAATTGTTTTCACACTTAAACGGCTCTATTGACTCCACTAATCATCTCCAACGTTCAAAATCAATTGAAAGAGTATTTAAACAAGCTTAGAAGCCATTGATCAACAACAAGAAAAAACAAGAATCAAGAATTAAGAGAGAATCAAAGAGAAAGCATCAAACCTCAAATTTGAGCATTTCAAGCCTATTTTTCATTCAATATTCATTTTGCTTTCAAGAACACTACTTGTACTCAATTGTATTCATTTTTTAGTGTTCTTTTCTTTGTTCTAGAATTGTGCAAACAATCTACCTTGTGAGGATTTCCTTGTAAGTTTACAAATTTGTAATATTCTCTTTGAGAAAGAGTGTTCTCAAGAATTGAGGTATATTCTTGAGGGAGTTGTAAGGTTATCTCTTTGGCCTCAAAAGAAAGAACAAATTAGTGAATTTGTTGGAAAATCCTTAGTGTGGATAGCTAAGGTAGTGGACGTAGATTTTTGGTTGAGAAAGTCGAATAAATGTGTTCTCTGAACTTCGAATTGCTCTCCTGTTTGAGCATTGGCCGTTTGGATTACGTCTTTTAATTCTAAATGTGCATTTCACAGAAGTTACCACCGAAATCAAACCTTTTACAGAACATGGTACGTTTTTGTTTTTGTTATCTGTATAGGTAATTGGTGAAGATGGAAGAGAGAAAAATCCAATTTTCTTTTTCAATCAATTTCGAATGTAACTTATAGTAGATATGTTTTATTTATATATTAATGTTTTGTTATTCATTTTCGGACTAGAATGTTGATCAGCGATACTAATTCTTTGAGGTCGATTGAACACATGAATTCCAAAAGCCAACTTTCACGCTGTTTTCGTCATGTTAATTCGTTAACTTGTTTCCTTCACGATGTACGTGTACAAAAGTAATCTTCCAACTACGCCTTGCAAGAAGAATTATATGTTTTTTTAGATTAAAAAGAACTATATGTTAAATATGCATAATTTTGAAAAAAAAAACAATATTAATAGTTATTTTTCCTATGTAAATAGGGATGGCAAAAGGTCAAGTTAGAGTAGGGTTTTCAGTTAACTCGATTCGATCCGAAAATTTGATATCCTACATCCACCCGAACTTGATCCGAAAAAATATATATGTTATCAAACTCTGACCTGACCTGGTATAAATTAAAGATTTAGTTAAAAATATTTTTTAAGGAAACGACATTATTATCATAATTAACATTAAAAGTTGTCTCTAACTATTAAAAGTTGCAAAATGATCACCTAACTATTCATATGTTCTAAACTTGTCATTTTCTATTAAAAAATAATGATCGTCTGAGTTGGACGTTAACATGCTGATTGTGATATGATAATCATTTGAGATTTTTGAATCAGATTTTATCATATCATAATTAACATATTAACGTCTAACTCAAATTGCAGTAATTTTTTTAATGAAAATGAACGAATTTGAAACATATGAATAATTAGGAAACTATTTTGTCACTTTTAATAGTTAAATGAATCAATTAAGGATGGGCATGAGACCCGGACCTGAAGGGTTCCAACCCGACTAGATCGGGTCATATATTTTTTTAAAAAATCATATTTTGGTCGGGTTCGGGTTTAGGGTGAAAAATACCCGACCCGAAAAATTATTGTTTTACCTTATATATTTAGGGACAATTGCAATAATACCCCTCTATATATTATTTTCTTTCGATTAAATCCATATTTTTATTAAATAAAAATAATTTTTTTAATAAATATATTATATTGGATCAGGTTCAAATTTTATCTCAAAAAATCGGGTCGAGTTCGGTGGAAGATGTATATTTTTCGGGTCGGGGTCGAGTCAGGTAGATGATTTATAATTTTCTAGTTGAGTCGGGTGGACCAAAATCTGACCCGACCCGACCTATGCCCATCCCTAGACTCAACAAACTAATACTCTATAACCGAAGAATCATTTTGTAACTTTTAATAGTTGAGGACTTAAAAAACATTATTCTATAATCGATGGACCATTCGTGTATTTTACCCTAAATTTAATTATATGTAAATATAAAATATAATGATAAAATTAATTTTTAACATTTAATTGAATAATTACTTTGGTCCATGATTTTTTTAAAATACTTAAAACTCCTAACGTTTTATTTTATTTTATCAAAATGGCCCTTTTTTTTAAATATTAAGTACTAATTGATTTAAAACGTTTTTTACTTGATAGATCCATGTGGAATGGAATGTTGATTGCGGACGTGGTAATATTACATCGGTAAAAATATATTTATTAAATTAATTATAAATAATTATTTTTTAATCAAATTAATCCTAAATTATGATTCTCATAATATTTCAAACCTATGCAAGTGAGGTAGGGAGTTTGCCCACTTAACCACTAGGACTAAGATGTTAATTTTGTTATCTTTTGATCAGATATAATAAATAATGCATAGCTAAAGGTTAAGACAATATTTGAAAATTAATCTGATTTCCAATAATCCCAAAATATATAGAGGAAAATTCCACGATCCCTAGAAATTTCAACATCAGTGGAGCGCTCTGACTCTCTGATTGGGGATTTTCTTTTAGGGACGTGACTCAATTTGGAGAGTTTCTTTTGGATTAAAATGGAAGAAAAGAAGAAGCTGTGATAAAAAAAGTGATTTCCATTTTTTTTAAATGAGTGGCACTTCCATTTTCATGGTTTAAGCAGTAATTATATACTTATTTGATAAAACAACGTAATAATATTCACACTTCTAATCAATAGAACTTTCTATGTATCGACATAACATAAGCTTTATGGCTTCTTGTTGGCAGCAGATCGGTACCTGGCAGCGTATCGGTGAAACAAGGCCAGTGCATTGCTCGTTAGCTGCGCAACGTTTATCACCTTGACTTTAATGGTGGCCTTCATTTTACTCATCCTATGCCCCGGAAACTCGTCCACGCAATTGATGGCATCGGTTAGGGCAGCACTAACCCAAGTCTCAACATTATCTATGTGCCAAAAAATGTCGTCGGAAATCCCGGATTTCGGATCGCATCGCCGGATCTCTCTGATCGATTGCCAAAGCTGGTTTACGCTATCGTCGATTTGTTGCAAGCAGTCTCTCACGGCTGGATACTCTTCGGCCTTTATTGATCCCAGCTCTTTAGCCACCTTCAACATATACGACCTTGTGTGACGAGCCTTGTATAGGCTTATTGTCAAGGCATCTCGGGCCAGCTGATGCTCGTCCCGATTGCTGGAGTTGGCATAGCGGGCGAGATATTTCATGCACAGAGCCGGGTATCGAGTTGTCCGGCATGAGACCTCGATGAAGGTCTTTGCTCCCGGTTGTCTCGGTCTCACCGTGGATGAATCAACCGTGCCGATGTTGTTGTGAAAGACGAAAAGAAAGAACAAAACGAGGAAGAGGCTGATCTTGGCCATTGGTCAATGCGTGAAGGGTCTGAACTGAGAATTGAAATGAAAGAACGCGTATTGATGTATATATATAGAAGACTTGAGAGAACTTGTCGCATGAAAAGCCATTGCTAAGCTTGCAGTTTACGAGAAATTAAGAGCAAATAGCTAACTAACAATGTAGTGAAGCAAGTATAGAATAAAATAAGAGCCCTATTCCACAAAATTTTAGTACAAAGATCATGTTCTAAGATGTACGTGTTCTCGATTTTACAATTTTTGCAGCATATTATGGAACAAGAGCACGTGCAGAATGTTCCGGGTCAAGCAATTATAGTTTACAAGGTAAAGTTTTAATGGTTTAACAAACATTAGATAAAATGATAAGACACGTTTTAAAAATATATTAATAATTGACCGATAAACATTAGGGGCAATGATAAAAACACGTTAAGAATAATTAAATTTAAATGTATGAGATAATACTATTAAGAAAAATTATCATAAATTTTATACAATTATAACATGACATGATATCGAAATGAGCTCTTTAATATTTACTTAAAAGATCATTATAGTTCTTGTTTTTAATATTTTATTTCATACACTTTTAATTTTTTATTAAAATAACTAATGTTAAATGAAATTGTTAATTAACTGACATTTAACATATGTTGTTGATATAACATTCTCAAATATATTTAATTTTTAATGTGACATATGTCATATCGTTATCTTGAATAACGTGATACATACATATTATCATTTTAAGTAACATGTTATATCATCATTTTAAATAATGTATTATATTTTACGTCATTGCTTTGAGTAACATAACACATTATATCATCACATTAAATTGCGTAGTATGTCATATCATCATTTTGGAAGACATGACACATATCACATTATCAATTCATGTAATGTAACACATGTTATATCATCGGGTGATGTGACACGTCACATTATTATCGTATGCGACATGACATATGATATATTAGTAATTTAATACATATAAAAATGTTACGTTAGCAACATAAATTGATCATTATTCAACAATTTATTTTCATTCCGCATGAGATATTTTGACTAAAAATTGAAACATTAGGTTAAAATACATTTTAAAAAATAAAAATGTGATTATTCAAATAAACGTTTGAAGTTAATTTTGACATTATGTCTCGTAAAATATTAAAAAAAAAGAAGAAAGAAAACAAACGTATAAAAGAGAAAAGGACGGTTTGAGCTAGACTAGTTTCTCGGCGACAAGATAAGCATCTTTGGCCAACATGATCCTTGGTTTAAGGGAACCAGCTAAGAACTAACATTAAAGAAATGAAAATGATGGTTCGATTAAGCCTACTTGGTTCTATTTGCAAGCGGGGAAGCCTCAAAGATCATGTGATTGAGTGGTTTCTCCTCAAAATCAAACCCACAAAATCAATCAAAGGTGTAGCTTTCTGTAAGTTAAATCTAGAAGACTCCACCATGTTGTCTCTTCTGTAATGAGAAACTTGTAATAGAAAATTCAAGTACACTATTCATTTAATTTGAAAGGGCAACATTGATGATTTTTGAGACGAATAATAACGTTTCATAACCATAACCTTTGCCTTACATCAGCTCTTTCAGTAATCTAAGGGCACAACAGAAGCATAGAAACAGATGATGCTCAAATCATGGGACCGCCTTGCTGCACGCTGCATGCAAGGAACCCTGAAGAACAGTTGAAGCACACAAAGACAAAGGAACTTTGTCGAGAAACAGTGAGCTCCGATGTCGAGATACGATTACTAGATTGCATAACTAGAGCAATTACAAATTGCAACGAGGAACAGCACACTATATCAGTACATATGTGAATTACTCTTGAAACTAGATAGATTTGCATGGTGCTGGTAATTTACTCTTTAAGCTTCATTCCTGAAAGATAAACTCGGCTCTTGATGACACTGCCGCCAATCGAAAAACCAGGCATGACCATTAGCCCAACCTTGGGCTTCTCATGGGTTTCATCCATTGTCAAATTCTTCTCTACACTTTCCATATAAATCTCTGAGAACTCACTTCCCCTTTTAACTTGAAAGACTTTCACGCTAGGGTCAAATGAGTAAGCCAGCCTATGCAAAAGCCAAACAGATTTAGCCAATTTCAGAAAGGCTTGGTAAAATGGAGTCCTAGGATGCCCACCTCCCATTACATAATTACGCTGGTCTAAATTTCCGAAGAATGAAGCTTCCATCTTTGGATGGACAACCATCAGGTACTTGCTCTGGGAAAATTTCCCGAACAAGGTATCAGGATTCTGGCCCAGCATGTCCAATGGATCCATCTCCCTCAGAGCCAGATATTGGTTGAAGAAGCTCTCTTTATTGACAGTAAGGTTGTCTAATTTAATGGAGAAATTCTCCTGTTGAAACCCACTGAACATCCTCTGGCAAATGTGGGACTCAAATGCATATTTCTTGTGAGCTCTCTTGGCATAAACAACGTTGGGCTCGATTGAGTCTGCAGCAGCATCAAGGTCCCAGCCAGCAGCTTTCATCATGTTGATTAATGGTTTAGAAAAATCATGAATAGCTTTGAAAGCAGATTCAACAGCTGATGTGAAGAGCTCAGGGGTCAAATCCACAGGAAATACTCCATTTAATTCTCCTGAGCTTTCAGATTCCTTCATAGACAAGCCCCTGAGCTTTATATTCTTTTCCAATTTCACTCTCTTCTGGTTTGCATCTTCAATTTGCTGCTGCAACTGTTGAATTTCAGAATCGTTATTCTGAATTTCGGACTGAAATTTCTTAACCATAACCTCATAGGTTTTCAGCAGGCTCTGTTGTTCTTGGATCTCAGCAGCTAAACGAGAATCTTGAGGAGAAACGCACACCGTCTTGGGGTTCTTTTCCCTGTATAAGTGCTTCAGTTCAGATAGATTCTTCAGCTCAGATATTACAAGTTTATCAGCAGCTTGGATCTTTTCAGGGTCATAGGGAGTATGCGCAGTTTGTAGCTGAATATAAGCCGACTTGAGGGAGGAGATGTTTGTAAATAATTTAGATATGAGAGCTTCCACAGCTTCTGGATTCTGGTTCATGCTCTCTTCCATGGGTTGAGGGTGAACTTTTTGATTGTTGTTATCACGATGATGGGTATCTTTTTCCCCAGTCGGTAGCATAGTTTTTACCAGCCAAGGGGATAATTGAAATGGAATCTTTTAGAATAAAGACTGTTACCAGAACACCTGCAATTCAGATAGTGTTAAACCTTATGCAACTTTTCATGTATATAATATACGATGCAGGCTCTATTATACCAGCCACGACAAAATTTGAACGAGTACTCGAATCGAACTAAACATGATATACAAATTGAGCAATCTGTATATTTATTAAACTCAGCAATTTCTTAGTTTAATTCCAACTTCTGGTTTACCAATAATATAACTTGACTGCCATTTCAATGCCGTATGGTAACTCGAAAATTAGAAACAACAAAATGAGATTCTTTCCTACATTTAGCCTATATCTTCGACATAATAGTAACTCAAAAATACTGTTGAAATTGCATGGTGATCACTGATCCGGGCCACTACACAAGCATTTTGGTTGTTGAATGATCTATACGAATACAAACCATTAGTAGTGCATAACAATAGAGTTAAAGACCAGAGCATACCTGAAAAGATCACGAGCCCTCTCCAGGATATATCCAGTAAACATAATCACCTTCAACCTGAAAGCAACAGTAACCAATAATTAAAATATTTTTCCAGCAAATGAAACTCCATCATTCAAGAAGTAAAGGATAAGATTATGAACAATTAATCATACAAAACCAGAGACCCACTGGGAATCGTTCAATAGTACGCTTTACTTGGGTGAGAAAACAATGTAAAGATCACACTTTTAATAATCAAACCCTTCAGCTACACAAGAATCCAGAAACGAAACCGATCTTTATATTAAAGAGAAAATACCCTAAGTTCAAGGAGAAAACACAAGCAAATAAAACTCCAAATCTAAGATTGTGCAGTGAAATAAGACCTAGAGTGACCAACTTCCACCGGGTAAACTTTGGGCTTGCAAGTAATTAGCTTGGCGTGGAAGAAGGAATTTACCTGACCGGAGATATAGCCGGACGAGATGGGGAATATTTTCAGACAAAATTATTTAACACAGCGACAGAGAAGCAAAGCTTCGAATAGGAAATCCTCTTGCTGAAGTTTTCAACTTGTCGGCATAGGCCCACTGTCCACTAGAACAAAACAAACCCTATGATGAGCGTATTTTCTCACAACTTGGAATTCAAATTTTGCTTTATCTTGAAATTATAATCATTAATATTTTAAAAATATATATATGATAAGCTTTTGTGTTCATAATTTTACTTTTTTAGGTCGTTAGTGTATGCTGAAACCAGTGGAATTATACAATATTTGTTGTAAAAATTTAAGTTATTATATCTTATTGGGCTTGTAAGAGCTAAGTTGAAATGTTGGACTCACATGTACAAAAACTGAACCCAACTTATGTGGAATACTTTTATTTTAGGATAAATTACAGGTTTAGTACCTATACTAGTAGTTTTAATCGTCTAAACTTTCAATTTATTTAAAATAAATATCTTAAGTTTAGTTTTTGTTTCATTTTAGTACCGGCTCAAAACTTAACGTTAAGTTTTGAAAGAAATTGAATAAAACAGACCAAAATTGATAGTTTAGATACTAAACACGTTAAGTTTTTAACGACAGAGTACTAAAATGAACCAAACACTAAACGTTATATATGATTTTGAAAAAATTGAAAGTTTAAGTACTAAAATAGACCAAAACCAATACTTTAAGTACTAAATGCATAGTTTACCTTTTATTCTATTGCATCTATAAGAGAGTACAATAATAATAATAAATTATTAATAAAAATAATAAATGATTTAATTTATAAATTTCAAATTCAATTCACGTAAAATTTATTTAAATGTAATGTATAATGCACAGAATTATTTAATTTTCAGTTTTATTTTTGTTTAATTCAATATTTTTTTTACAATATCTTTCTATATGATTTTTTTAGTATAAAGTGACATAAAAGTGGCATATGTCATACATATAAAAAAATGGTTGTCCCTTTTTCCCATATATATGGGGTAAGGGGAGGTAAGATAGTAGGCTACCCCCAACACCAGGTTGAAAGCAACTTCCGTAAGAGACCTCCGAATTATGAAATGCCCTCCGTGGGACTCGATCCCACGACCTCAAGGTTAAGAATCTTGTGCTCTACCAACTGAGCTGGATGGTCATTTCTATATGTCATAGATATAAAATTTCAAATATTTTAAATAAAAAATTTTAATTTTGATAAATCTCACGCATGTCATTTGACGGTCGAATTTAACGACAAACATCTAAAAGTGTAACGTCGAAAACATTAAACACTTATTTTTAACGAAACTTTTTTAGCACCTAAAGTTAACTTTGGTTATAGTTTTGGGCCCTTATTGTTGCATTAATCCAATAACTTTCTATTATTTGATTAATAGATTTGTTGTTATTCTTTAAGGTCGAATAATGAAGGATCACCTCTGATAAGACTATATGCATCCGCCCCTGGTCTCGAATTCGAGCACTGTCATATAAAAAAATATAAGCGTTAACTTACAAAATTTTAAGTAAAAATTACCTGCCCATACATACACATACATATATATATATATATATTAAGAACTTTCTACTATCTTTTGTACATTTGAAACCTTCATATATGACTCTCAACAACTACATACGAATCCTTACCAACCCCCACCATCAAATATTGTGTCGGCAAAAATAAAATCCAAAGTAATAAATAGCTTTAAGGTCAGTTCTCTATTGTTTCTAAAATCAAATTTTGATACTAAAACAATAAATTATAAGATTGGTTGTCGACATTATTTAGGTTACAAATAATCTTTATTTTATATAATAAACAAAACATTTATATTGATGATAAATGAAGGGATTTTGTTTCTCATTATTATCGATTTTCTCTTTATCAAAGTCTTATAAGTCACCGTATACGTGTGAATCAGGTTAACTTAGTGATTAAAATTATAGTTATTATCTTTAGAAGTTTTAGATTCGAACATATTATATGTTAGAGGTGTTTAAACTTTTATTATCAAATAGATTGAAAGTCCTTCGAATAGAAACTACCCCTTATAATCATCCTTAGATTAATAAAAAAATCACTATCATATGAAGAAGACATGCATGAACATGAAGAGCTTGAGAACTTTCCATTCTTTGATTATGTATTCGAACCATTTGATTAATATATTTTTTCTCATTCTTTATTTTGATTCTGGTCTGCAATGCCTATTCACAAAACAATTCAATAGTGAGAAGTTTCTAATGTTTATGTACCCGGCTGTTTACCAGAAATTCCCAAACAAAAACATATCTAGCAGGATAAAGATGGTTCAACTTAACAGGGACTAAATCGGTGAATCCGGTGTATGGTCAAACCTGGTTCATTCAATATTAATCCTAACGACCTTCTTCATTCTACCTCCAGAAGTGGTTCTTGCTTCAGTGTTTGCTCCTTGATTTCCACCGTTTTTTCCATGCTCTCTATATGGATGTCTCGGACTGTCCTTTACTGCCAACCCCATCTGTTCATGACTTCCAGGTCCTACATTCACATTGGATATTCAAAAAGAAAAAGAAAATGAAAGAAATAGTGTCAAATGGCATGATAAAGAAGGTTGCTAAATCCATTAAAATGAAACCTTCTATATAAAAGGTTAAAAGACACGTGTACCAGCATTAGCAGGCTTGCTAAAGCCATCACTCCAACCAGCCAAATGACCCTCACTATTACCTTTCCAAGCCTTTTCGAATTCCAAAAGTTCATCTAATAAAATCACAATATGAAAATATCAGCTCCATTCAAATAAAATTCTTCAATGATCACAAGAAGCAACCAAGGAACAAACCTTCATTCAAGTTGTGTAATGTCTGTGTTGTGTCCACCTTACCATCTGCATTCAGCTTTCTTGTAACAGAATGGCCCTGCACAAACAGAGATAACATCGAATCAACAATGCAGCAACTAATAAATAACTGTGAATCAACATGGTTTGGAATCGGACCACAATCTGTTCATCGAGGAATTGTGGAGGATATGTGCTTTTAGAACACACCCCAAGTTGCAGTAATTTAGTCAAATATTGGACATATATAACTGCATTCTTTAAGACTCGACTTGTTTATTAATTGTTCCCCAAGAAACCAATGGATGAAAGTTGCCTTATCATGAATTCCTCTAGAAATCCTATGTGTTGCTTGACCTGTTGTTGTATCTGCTTCTTTTCTCTCCTCAATCACCGCCTGAAACAACCAACACCGATATCGAATACGATAAGCATTTGAATCATAATCGAGCACTCATCGAAAAAAGTTACTTACTCCATCACTGCCCGTCTTCCTGCTTTTCGTATTAGTGTAATAAGTTCCATCTACACCTCCATATGTAACTCTTGAAGTCTGGAAACTAAAACTACGAGTCTGTTGTTTCGAGCCTTTCACCATGTGGCTGTCATGCTCATTTCTATGAGTATCACTCTGAATCTTCCCATCTGATAAATATACAACACCAATCATTGTAACTCGCAAAAAATACAGATATTAAACAAATGCAGTGATCAAAATTTAAGATCGATTTACCGTCATCGCTATCATCTGGGTGCTCGAGAGACAGTTCCTTTCCCGACCCGACATGCTTAGTGATGCCTTTAGCCCTTTCTTTGTCTTCCTCATCGGAGTCCAGTTCTTCTATAAGTATTCCCTTTCCTACATGGCTCTTGAGTGGTGCTTCACGAGATGGAGTAGTTGGACCGAAGATGGTAGGTTCGAACATGCTATCGAAGGGACGAGTGAAGAAGGGATCATCAAAAGGATTTCTGCCTCCAAAGAGGCCAGACATCATAGGGTCGCCCGCATCGAAGAGGTCCATTTTGCCTTCTCTTCCCCTCTGCATTCTGTATGCAGTCTGAAGAAAACAAACATAGCAAAGATGGGAATCGGAATTCAAATGATGATAGATGAAAAAGAATCAAAATTCAACTTCAGTAAATTGCATACAATTTATTAAAAAGAACAGACAATAGCAAATGTAGAATCAACCTGAGATAACCCACTTCTCGATGCGGAATCAACAGACGATTAGCAGGTGAAACGAGGTGGATTTGAAATGAAGCAGCAGGATTTTTGGGATCCTTTGTTTCTTTCTGTGTGGGGATCAAAATTGCTCTCCCCGCCATTGAATTCGGGGGAATTAACTGGAATGTTCGAGAAGGAGACACGTGACGTAATCCCAACTTTTCATGTTCAAGCTAAATCTAGAATGTTCCGGTTTTTTTTAGGCCCAAACTCACCAAACTATTGGATTTCATCTTCTTCCTATCTATTTTCGGAAATACTTGTCAGATGTATATCTTTCAATTGAAAAAATTATTATTTAAATTTTGTTACATCGTCTTGTTTATGTTCATGACCATTAATTACAGACTAAATTAATAATAGAAAGAAGGAAAAAGAATAAGATAATTATTTTTTGTTGGTCAAGACCATTAATGTAAAATAATTTTTTTTCTAAAGAATACATTATAAAACAGGGTCGCGAAACACAATAATGTTTTTTCTCGGTTACAAGCGGTTTCACATTGTTATGGAGTTTTCACTTTTTTTTAATTAATCACTTATATTCAATTTATTAACTGACTTATTTAGATCGAATACTGCAGAGGCGATGACAACCCTCCTAACTCAGTTTGCTCCATTCATAAACGTCGGGATTCAAACATTTAACCTTGTTTAAAGGATCTAATATCTCATCTCACTATATCAAATGCTTGTTGGTAAGTTTTCACTTTTTTATTGTGTTAAAAACACTGATGGTGGTTTTTTCCAGCCACTCTATTGTCATTTTTTCGTTTTTTTTTATTTTCTAATTGATAGTTCTTCGATTTTATTAGATTTTAGTTCTATTTTGTTGTATTTATATGTTTACTCTTAACTCTTTCTCTGTTATAAAGTATCATGATTATCGGTGTTTTCGAACTCTTTATACATGTTTCTTCTCTCGATTTTCTTCTTGATTTATGGTTCTACATGTTTTATTGATTAATTGCTTTCCTGATACATGATCGTTTGCGTATGATATTTTGTTGACGGTAGAATATATGTGCCGGATAAAGTTACAGTTAAGAGATGATTGATTTTTCATTTGTTCACTTTGAATACTTTTCAAGTTCTCATCCTCTATGTCCGGTGCTCAAGGGCGTCGAAGTGACATATCTTTATGTATAATTACCTCACGTTAATTTGACTGTCTCTAATCGCTCATCTTTATATTTTACTTATGTTTGTCATGAATGTACATGACATTGTTCTATATGATATATTTTATAGTTAATACAATTAATGTATTTATTTTAAGAAGAAAAAAGAAGCATCTAATCATATTTTATTTATTCAAATTTATCTTGAATTTTAAGTGAAAATCATCCAACCCATATGATGTGAATAATTGTTTTTCCATTTTTATTTGATAACTACAGCGTCCGACAATACCATCAGAAAATACAACATAAAATTACTGTAAAAATTGTCAGGCCATCACCCCCTCCACCATTTTAACCATGCTTGCTATTCTCTCTCTGGATCTACTGTAATTTATAGGTGAAGATGCCTGTGGGAACGAAAGGTTAGAAGCCGAAACCCGACCCCAAGTAAAGGTGGCGACGGGCGAGGCTTCTGTATCAACAGTGAGGAGAAAAGTCTCATGCACGCCGGATTTCTATTTTAGAACTCCTGGGAATCAAAATCAGGCTTCGATGGATATTCAAGACCCTGAAGTGCCGGTATCCGCCGTAAATCCTCCTCTGAATAACTCGGAATGAACCGGTATCGCTTGTCTGTTCCAAACACCTATATATAGATCATCACCACCAAAACTAAGTAAACAGACGACAGTTAGCATGTCCGAAAAACCAGCTACAAGAACAACTATTGGTTTCAACCAGACCATCAACTGACCATAACATCAAACTTTTCTTTTCGACGCAAGAAATACACATAAGGGAAAATATCAATGTATTCGCAGAAATAGTTAACCTGTTCAAAATTTTTCTTCCGACCAAGGTCATAACGCCATTTTGGAGTTGTTTTCTTCTCATATGCCTGTTTCAAAGACAGCCACCGATTTTATCAGCAACTTGTGCAGGCATTCTTGAAGATTAGTTGACAGATGTCCCTAAATTCTTATTGGGGATATTCGATTAATCTATTATGATGTTTAAGTTCCTCCAAACATTAATGCTTCTTTTCCTGCCTCTTTAGGACAGGATCGATTCGGTTAATCACAATAACGATTTTGCATGTCTACTTGTATTATGAAATGGAACTAATTAGTAAATTCTAAAATAAAAAATAACGACAGACGCCAAAAGAACCAAGTAGTACCTCAATAGTTGTGGTATTAGCTGCCACCAAAGATATATGCATGATCAAAAACCCCATGACGCTCAATGCAAATGCCAAATTCAGAACTGTAACAAGAGAACATGGTCATACATTTCTATGTAGTCACAAAAGCTAATCGGGTCAGACAATAATCCCAAGCAGTCCATACCAAAGGAAAGGAAAGTGGTAGCAAGGGTGCCGGGGCTTCCGGGGACTTCTCCATCACCAAAGAACGCTAAGAAATGAGGCAACAAGGCCAAAGTCACAAGAGTAGTCTCGAGGAAAGTGTAAAACTGCATTTATGTTCGAATACATGGTCAAAGCAATGCCAAGAAAATCGAAGAAACACTCCACAGCTCAATTTATATTTCTGTAATAGACTTGAAAATAGGAACTTCTTGAAGCTAAGGTGAAACTTCAGAAGCATAAAATGTACGGAAAAGAAAACTGATTCGAAAATAAAGCAAACATACCAAGAAAAGCAGGAAATACTTGTAATTTTGTGCACCAACACAATTGACAACCCACACACAATGATGGTCCATCTTTAGCACACACCGCCCACCTGAAACAACAATATCGATATGCAACCAGTCATCGACAATTACGGCATTATTAGGAAATTAAGAAAAGAAACGTAGGACTTTGGTGTATGAAGAACGCACAAACAGAACAATGATGGCAGCGAGGTGGTTTCAGCTGGTTGCATTTCCGACAATATCGAATTCTTTGATTTAATGTGTTTGGCTGCGAACTGTCTAACTCCGAACCGTTCAACGGGTCAACCTCCCCTCTCTCCTCATCCGTAGCTGGCCTCCAGTTAGGTGGCACACCACCCGGATCAGTCAAAACAACAGAAAAGTAACTCCATAACAGCATCACCAGCTGCAGAATCGCATCAAAGTTCCAACATCTAGAATTAGTTCCACGATACAATTAAATCATCCATTATTTTTCATTCTTTTAGCAATGTGATTACATTAAGCACAATCCCAAATCCCAATCCCAAATATAGAAAAAGGTCCTAAATGGAGCCTTGTATTCTAATAAATAAAAATTAAGATCCAGAAAGACCATTGACTAATAAATAAACAAACACAAAACTCAAGCTTGGATCTTTCCAAAACCAACTTCAACGATTTTAACAAAAAGGCAGTCTTTATTAGCTAAATTTCAAGATATCTAATCCAGAGGCAGAACAAGTTAAGCCTAAGAAAACCCAATTAACAAGAAATGTCAAATAAACAGAAGAAGATTCATTTGGGGGACTTACAAAACAATGAAACAATAGCAATATAAGAGCAGCAGAAAGAGAATGAAAGCCACCGTCGAATAAAGCAGGGCCATAATTAGTCAAAACGACAGAGTAATAAGTGACACCCACGATCCCTAGAACCAAGAGGATCATGATCGAGCCCAGACCCCTGAGAGCCGTGCAAAACTTGAACACGTTCCAAGCCATCGTTGCTCCAGATCTGTGCATAATACCCAAGCTAACAATTAAGTCAAAAAAAGTTCAGACTTCTGTATCTTTTTCAAAGAACTGGGATCGTAATTAAGGTTGCCTGAATGACATAGAGGATGAAGGAATCTGTGGTTTTCCAATTGGGAACAGTCGATAAGGAAACAGGGATGGAAGCGAAACAAGAAAAAGAAAATCGTCTCTTTTTTTCCCAAATATTTTTTCCCTACAATATCCTGTTAGAGTGGGATTGTGTAGCTAGAATTTATGGGACTTGCTCACTCAGTGTTTCAAAATTTTGAGTTAATTATTCAGTTTTTTCTGAAAAATAAAATAGAAAATTAAATTACAATAATACAAAAATTAAAACTAATTATATAACTTTTTTATTAATAATTATAAAATAATATTTGTTTAAAATATTAATTCTTTTAAACATAGAAGAAATGAATTAAACTTTAAGCAGTTATAGCATCTTGAACATCTTCGTTACAAACAACCCGAATTTTTATTAGTAACCCTAGGAACAAGTGTAAAGCGATAGAGCAACTCCAAGTCAAATGAGTTAAGCCATCGGCCATAAGGTTACATTCCCTTGCTACGTATTTGAATTGTAGGCTCCAATCGCATTGAACAACATCATGAATACGATAATGTCGTTAAATTGTAAGTTTCAATCACAGTGAACAAAATCATGAATTTACGACATTATCGTTGAATTGTAAACTTTAATCGCTACTTGAATTCAAGATATTTAAATAGTGTTATTTCTTTTAATCACTATTTAACTCAAAAAATAAAAAATTAAAAGCTTTTCTTTCACTGTTAAATTATCTCTAAACTCAAATCACTAGGTTGAAAATTTTGCATTTTTCAGATCCGTTCAAAATAAAATCTTAATAGTTTTGAGTAATTATAAATGTACAAGGAAGTATTTGTTAAACAAAAAATTAATTTGTTAATAATGTACACATATTTTATAAATATAGTTGCTCGAACTTAATTTTTTTTTAAATAAAATTTTCTTATATCCCTAAAACTACTCGATTAATTCATATAAGTCCAAATTTATGAGCATTGTGACATTGCAACAGTAATAATATTAATTAAGATTAAGATTAATTAATATAAATATTTAAAAATTAATTATAAAATAAATAATTTAGTAGTGATAAGTTTTTTGTTTTTATTAAGCTAAGGTGATTACAAAATAGTATATGTTCTAAATACTCTCAACCATTTAACAATGAACGCTCAATCACTCCTACTGTAGTCGTTAGTGCTATACTTTGTGACCTATACGAACAACAACAATTCCTTTAACCATTGAGGTAAATTGATTTGTGCTTTAGTAGTGGTAAGTTAGCTGTATTATTTTCACTAATGCTAGTTGCATCAAATAAAATTTGATAACCGCTTAAATAAAATTCGAACTTTAAACATATTTGATTGCAATGACTACTAAAAATAAGGGGTCTCAAGTCTTAAAGGAATAAAGTACATAAATGATTTTTCGATTATAAAATATTATTTTATTTAGATATCTAATTATTAAACGTTATAAAAAGTCTTTTAATTATAAAATACTACTTTATTGAGTTTCTCGATTGTTAAAAGTTAAAAAATGATCATCAGACTATTACTATTATTATAAACTCGTCATTTTTTGTTGAAAATTTTACGACCGTCTGAGCTGGATATTAACATATTTGTTAGAATATGATAAAATATGATCCCAAAATCGTTTGAGTTGTATTTTGTAAATCGATTCTACATTTACATTATGCCTTCAAGTCATTGTGTCAGTATATATCATTAAAATATTATTTGTTAGAAAGATGTATAAATAATTTTAAGACGAATTAAGAGTTAGATAAACGGAGATTAATGGAACTTATATAATTTTATGTTAGAAAGGTGTACATATAATACTTTTAAGATGAATTTATAAAACATAAAGGAACGAAAATATATTATTTAAAAAATTAAAGTTTTGAGGGTGTGATCGCCCAATTGCTCAACTCGGTCCATCCGCGTGCGCTCGATCATTTCTTTCTTCTTCGAGCTCAAATGAAAATGGTTTTTAGTCAAATAAGTCGTCACGTTTAACGCCAAATCGTCATTGCATACGCATCAGCATCGACGAAAGTTGATGAAAAGAGAAGGGCAGCCAGCCCCAGCGGGTGGCGTCGACTCCCAACAAGTAGGTGGGAAAAACTTAGCGTACACGTGGGGTTCAAACTATAAGTAAGAGGCAACGAAAGATAAAATTTTACATCTCGAACACAAACTATTTAATATCTACCGAGGCAAGAACTGCAAACACCCGAAGACAAAAACAAGGGAGATACTGGGAGATGGGAAGAGAAAAAGGACCCGTTTGCGTCACCGGAGGAACCGGCTACATCGGGTCGTGGCTGATCAAGGTGCTTTTTGAGCAGGGTTACTCTGTTCATACCACTGTTAGACCTGACCCTGATAACAAGAGAGACCTTAGCTTCCTCACAAGCTTACCTGGAGCAGATGGAAGGCATAAAATCTTCCGAGCAGATCTTAGCCATCCCGAGAGTTACGATGCGGCCATCCAAGGGTGTAAAGGAGTTCTCCACGTCGCAGCTCCCATGGATTTCGAAGACAACGAGCCCGAGGCAGTAGTGACCCAAAGGGCGGTCGATGGAGCACTAGGCATATTGAAAGCATGCTTGATATTATAAAAATTGTCATAGTACCAATTACTTCGTCTAATTAAGACGAGATATTAATTTTTTTTAAAAAAATTAATAATTATAATCTTGATATTATAATAGAGTATCATCTCAGTTAATAGACCAACAATTGCAAAATCCAAAATTGATAACCTATTTATTGTCGACCAATGGTAAAATCCCCGTTTGGCGGCACGAAAATTGATTCCCAAATTAAATTGGAAAGAACTTATACATTAAAACAAAGCAAAGCACAGAAAGGCAGAGAGATTGGATAGGAAGAAGTTGGGCATGGGGAATCTATTAGGATGGCTCGTGACCTTCTTCTTCCTCGTCTCCCTTCTCTCCATCATCTGCTATCAGGTCAATCAATCCCTTCATTTCCGTTCTTCCTTCTTAACATTAATCTGGAAATAATGCTTTTAATTTATGCAAACATTGCAGCTTATTTGTCTTATTGATTTGGAAATCGATTACACTAATCATTACGATTCGGCGGCACGGATTAACAAGTTCGTCGTGCCGGAGTTCATAATCCAAGCCGTTTTCTGTTTAGCCTGTTTAATTACAGGACATTATCTCCTTTGTTTCCTGTCTCTCCCATATTTATACTATAATTTCAGTTTGTAAGTTTTCTGATGCACCGTGTTTTTTTTCCTCCATTAATCCTTAATTATTATGATTAATGATAATTGAATGAACAGGTATAGGACGAGAACACATTTAGTTGATGTAACAGAGATATTTAATCGGCTCAACTGGGAAAAGAAGCAACGACTTATCAAACTTGGCTATCTTTCTATGCTTTTTCTTGTTTTATTTTTGGTAATTATCCCCAAAAATTGCATTTTTTCCCCTTTTCTTTTCATTTATTAAACAATCAAGTCTCTTCTTTAAACGTGTTTCAGGTTGATTTGGACAGTGGGAACTGATAATTATTAAACAGGCTTTTGGTATAGGTTTAATGCACAAATTGATCCCTGAATTTGGTGATTTTCTTTCAAATTGACCCTTGAACTTTTTCTTTGTCATGTTAGCCTTTCTTCTTTTGGATTCGATGCAAGATTTCATTCGCTTGATACAATTTTCCCTGTGAATTGAGGTGCAGAAGCAATGTATGAGAGTTTTTTGTTACATTTTTCCAATGAATACGAATGCAACAACTAAGGCGGAATCGGGATGAAACTTCAAACGCGTAACACTCCCTATCCGGCTTGAAAGTTATACATGAATCGAAGAAGTCACATACGTGAGTCGGAGTAGATACAGAACTGAAACTTTTAGAAACTTTTATAGCATATTCAAAGATGCAAGGGTGTTATTGTAATTATAATACAAGTAGCGTGACAAACATGTAATTGTACCAAATCAAAATTCAAAACTATCAATTAGAAGTCAATTTTGAATTGCATGGACGATGTTACAAAACTAGGAACCTGTGGGGCAAAAACTAAAAATTTCAAAAGTTCTCTACAGGTATTGATACATTTTAAATATACCAGTATAGGTTTTAGCTATGATATTTTAAAATTAACTGTAAAATAAACCTTAGCATGAACACTATAGTTTAGATATCGATATCATATGCCGGATATCAGTAAAATCATGTTTAATGTTTAATAAATTTTTATATTGATATCTTGAGGTATTCATTTATACGAAATAAACGATTTCAGTGGTTAAAAATATTATTATTATTTCTAAAAGTGTCGGGTTCAAATATTCAAAACTTGTTAAGGGTTGAATAACATGTCAATCAGAAGAAGGATGAATGCAACCAGATCAAATGAAACTGCTGAAAATTTCACTACATGATTTGGAGATCTTTTAAGACCTGGGGCAGTTCTCATCAATCAGGGGAAAGAAGAAGAAGAAGAAGAAGAAGAAGAAAAGCAAGGGATGTCTTTGCCTGAGACATTAAAACCCAGCTGGATATCTATCAGGAATGTTAAACCTGCTTTGTCCTACATTAAAACATTCGACAACACTTAAAACTCTCTACTCTTTGATGAAAGAAATATCAGGGGTTTTTAATCTAATTTTATCAGATTAAGCTGCAGGCAAAGAAATGTTGATATCAGTTGCCGAATTCCTCGCTCCCTGCATGGCGGTCACCCAGTTTTCTCTCTGGGACTGGAAGGTAGCAGTATTGAGGTTTGGTTTCAGGGCATTGGAATTCTGTTGGGGCGAAGCTACATCTATGCCATCCTCTTTTTCGCCATTGGAGGCCGGTGCAACAACAATGCTCGAGTTCGGTGCAGCTCGTATGAACTCGATTTTCTGCTTCTTGTGTTTTTGGTCATTCTGGTTCCCCCGTAAGAAGCTGCCTACCACAACCTGATAATACAAGGATGGACATGTTTGATTAGATGTTCATATTGCTCGGACTGCTAGTACGAGGGACAATAGACGATCAATAATTGCTTCTAAAAGGTGAAGGAAAATTGCACTAAATGTCTTTACCTGTACAGCACTGGCAGCTATCAGAAGCCCAGCAACTCCTCCTCCTACGACACGGCCATCAGCGCTTGCTAAAGATACACTCATCCCGCCAGATCGGCTTCTTGTTCCTTGAGTTTCCGTAGGCATGAAGGATCCGGACAAGGACAGTATCTCGAAGCGACCCTACAAGAAAATAGAACAGACGAAGTTTTCTTTCAACCAGAAAAACAAAACAGTGTAACTCGGCATATGTCGAAATGTATGGTAATGTCAAGATTGCCTAACCTCGTTCGTCACAGTGCCCCCTGAAGAATCGGGCTGACGAAGTGTAACATTCGAAATTACCCCATTAGCTGATATGATGCAGATTGCTCTCGGTTTTTGTTGAGAAAACGAAATCACCTTCATCGTAACATCCTTCGAACACCACAAAAATCAAATATGAAGCAAGGAAAAATATAGACAACGACCAAGGAAAACATCACTTAGTATCAGCCACAGAAAAGGATGGACCCAGAAAGTCTACATAAGTCTGACAATGATAGAAAATGATGCATAAGAATGTTCCTCTGTCTTTCCCATATCAAAACGTACCTCACCAGCATTGACCGTAATAACATGAAGCATAAAATTCGCCCCGACATTTGAAGATGCTGCCCATTCACCTTTAGAAAATGAGGAATTTTACTGTCAGGTGAAATAAATAAATTGCAGATAACATACACTTTACTCTGTCAAACAAACATAGATCTGCTACATGGTTGAGATTGGCTTGATTTTGAACAACGGATTTCGACGCGGAACATGCATCTTAAACCAGACATTACTAATCAGCTGATATTACTGCTTTAGCACGTTTCATTTTGTTCGTAAGCATCTCGAAAATTCATTGATGAAAAGAAATCTAAGACGCTACAAGAATATTCCTCAAACCTCATACATGCACAAGAAAAGACTACTTTTTTATTTGCAGAAACCAGCAATATCCTTCCAGATCTGAACAATGGCATCTCAGATAAGGTCCCAGAAAAAGTTCAACAAGTATTATCAACTTCAGGTATAGAATCTTTCAAATCGGCATTCGGGAAATTCAGAATACATTAGGTGACCTGTTTCGAACCAGAAACATTACTATCTGCTACCAAATCTAGAACATGATCAAGTTCAACTAAGACAACAACATACTAAACGGGCTTATTACCTAAATTCTCCATGTGCTTAATATGGTAGTCGCTACCTCGCCCTCTCCCACGCTTTTTGCCACTATTCGAGAACTCGCCTCCGCAGGGTGGGGCAGACGAGGAAATGGGCATAGGCGACAATGCCCTCGTCATTGTCCCCTCGGGCCCGTATTTCCTAGGTCTACCTCTCTTTTTCTTTTTTATGCTACTAGTTAACCCAACACTAACCGGTGAAACATCCACCGCCTTCGAGACACTGCCAATATGATTGGCATTTTCGATCCTCGGCGCCATTTGATAAGTTGACGGAGTTTCTGCTCCTATTACTGTAACACCCGCATTTTCCTCCATGCAAATATTAAATTATACTTAACAGAAACTCCAAGCCAGTCACCTACAAAACAGAAACCCATCAATCAAAAACCAGAAAACTAACAAAAAATACAATGTCCTCAGAGTTATCTTTCACTTTCAGCTGAAACAAAGATCATTACATCTTCGAAATACATTACTTCACATACAAAAAAAAACAGTAAGTAAACTGATTTAGAAACTAAAATTTTCATGAAAGTTGTAGTCAAAATAGATACTTTGAAATTTTACCCCATCATACATTTCAAAAGCTAAAAACTTCAAAACGTAAAGATCCTCAATTTAAAGAGGAAAAAAGTGTTCAGCTGTCAGTTCAGTTCTCATGATCAGCCCCTTAACAGAAATTTAAAATTTAGTATAAAATAAATAATTACCTAATCAACCTAAAAAAACTGATAGTTAAGCATAAAAATATAAAGCAGGGATTTTTCATTTTTACAGACAAAATAAATTTCAAAGTTAAACGATGATGTTAAATGTAGAGATCATGACCTGTAACTTCCAAGTACACAGCCCGGAAAGAACTCTTCTCTGACACTGTTTCTCAGACCTGCTCACATTTTCCTGTGCCGAAGGAAAGTACTTCAAAAGCTTTTTCTATCCAACAAAACAGAAATTTCTTTTCCAATTTTCTCTAAGGAAAAAAAAGGAACCTGTTCCCCGATGATTAAAAAAACACTGGGTTTCAGAAAACCGCTGGTCGGTTCTTTTATTTTCCTTGTCCGAACACACTTTTTTACACAGAGAGAAGTGAAAAATAAAAAATATCTTAATAAATAATTAGTAGGTAAAATTGATGAAGTCCTATGTATAAAATTTGGTTAAGAAAGGATTTGACGTCCGGTAGGGGGGGAATTGAATTAAAATGGGGTAAAATTGTAATTTAGTCAAAAGAGATGTGTGAAATAAAATAAGGGAGAAAAGGAAAGTTAATTTATGTTATCTTTTATTAAACGATTTCAAAATTAAAATATTTATAATTAAATTAATAAATATATACTAGTATTTATAATTCGACATTTTATTTGTGGGGTAACTTTGTTTTTGTCTTTTTTGGGCAAATAAAGAGTGAACATCTTAGATATTGCCCTTGGCTTATTTTCTTAATCACGGTTCTGCCACCGTATTGTGTGGACTGATCTTTCTTTTTGTTTTATGCTTGTATGTTGTTCTCTCACATTTTTTAATAATTTTTTGTTATCAGCGTTTATGATTTTCGTTGACATGAGCGTTGGTGACTGAGTTGTGATCGCGTCACCTGATGGTGAAAGACAGATTGTCTTATGGTCGGATATGATTAGGTAGTCTCTGCATGGGAAGTTAGTACGACGGTATTAATATATTTATTAAAGAAATATGTTATAGGTTTTATTATTTTTTAATAAAATTAATAAAAAAGATTATTGAAAAAATTATTATTTTTATCTAAAATATTATTGAGCGATTTACTGAGCTTGGTAATATATCTGGTAAAATACTACTTAAAGTATTATTTTTTCTACCGGATATATTATCAAATCTGATAAAGTTTCTAATAATAATAAAATCGGTAGAAATAATAATGTTTCCAGTATTTTTTTACCGATTTTGTTAAAAAATAATAACAAAACTAATAACGTCTTTTTTTTAGCTGTATATTAGGTTGTCGCACGTGAGACTTCCCCTCTCCACACGTGACTATGCTACACCATGTAAACGGACCGAATAATATTTATGGTAAACTCTAAATGAAAACAAACTATTCAAAAAAAACTCTTAACAATTCACCATAACATTAGGTTTCAAGATGTGATCCTGCTCCATGTGGTCCACTGTGATCAATCATATTGACCGCGATTAGAAGCAGATGTTATGTGCGCTTGAGACGAATTCACCACGCGAAGACGATCCACGCAAATTGGTAGAGCAACACGCACACCCAGAGGAACCATAAGAACTACAGGATTTTCGACGATTATGACCATGTTTTGGTGTTGAACCCACGATAGAATACCGTGAAACAAAATTATATATCTCACCGGAGAACCAAAAAATGATTTCCAAATCAAAGATATGTGACGTCAAAGAAGAGATTGAACGAGAACACATCATTGTTGCACAATCCATTGGTACACCTAAAAGTTCATTCAGACATCTTGTCAAACAGCTTACGAGCAGCAAATACTCAGTCGAAACATTGCTGGCTACGACGAATGGAGACCAGACCAAGCAAGAATGTAGAAGGACCTTGTCATAACCATTTTTAGGTAAAACAATTAAATATTGTTTTTAAAAAACGATTATGACTTTAATTTGTAAAAATCGGTGATTTCGGAATTAATTTGAATAAAATAGAAAAGAGTCGCCATCGACCTTTGAGTTAGGTAGGTCGAATACCTAAAACCGTCTTTCAAAACAATTTTAAGGAAAATCATTTTTTAAGACAAAATTCGGTCTGCGTTACCAAAGATTCATTTAAATGGATTCGGGAGTCGGTTACGTGTGGAGAAGGGTAAGCACCCCCACAACGCCCAAAATTGGTACTGTGTCGCTTACACATTGTTGTAAATAGTGGAAATTACAAATCGAATATAAAGTTAAAATATGATCTATTTATCGAACATTGATTAATTTGCTTCGAATTAAATTAATTACAGAAAATTCTTTAACTCGAAAAGAAATATCAAAATTAGTAATCCTCCATCGGGAAAGCTAACTCGACTATTTCTTGTCAATAAAAGAATATTCCCTCATTGATAAATATGCAAATCGAATATAAATAAAATTGACGTTTGCAATTGAATAAAAGGAAATAAATAGTGAATTAAAAGTAACACACATTGCATTATTAAAATAAATTAATTAGTAAAATATACTCTACTTGTTGCAAGTTCCTATGTCGTTAAAATGTCGTATCGGATCGTACCACTTCGACCAAGTGGTACTTTCCACGCCCATTCTACGCATACGTGTTCTTGAAAATATAATCGAATATTTCGTACATAGATAAAAATATAATATAAAAAATGTAATTGCAAATACAAAAATAAAATATTTATGTTAAATGAAATTAAGAATATTATTTGCATAATACAAATAACCGAATAACAAGTACAATAAAATCATACATAAATGACTAAAATAAAATATTCACAAATGTCAGGGATAAATTCGAACATCAACCAAAATACCTAACATATAAAATCAGGGGCTAAAATGAAACTATTACAAACATTGGGACCAAAGTCAAATATCCACAAAAATGACATAACATACATTAGTAGGACTAAAATATAAACAAGGAAACATAGATGCCCAAAACAAAAGAAAATAAAATAGACATTAACCAAATATATTAAGAACAGAAAATGACTAAAATACAAGCAATTAGACCTTGAAGCCAAAAATTCAAAAATTCAAAGTTATATTCAGTGATTAAAATAAAATAATTACACAATACGAGATCAGATTCAAACATTCACGAAAGTAGTAATATAAAAGAGTAAGGACTAAAATGAAATAAATAGAAACATAAAAGATCACAAAGTAATTAAACCAAACATCAAACAATGACTAAAATAGAATATATACGAATATGGTGACCAAATTCAAATAACAGTAAAGATAATAAAATGCATGGGATCAGTGATTAAATTGAAATATTTGAAAATATTAAATCCAGAATCAAATATAGACAAATATGATATAAAACATGAACAGTGACTAATATATAACATTTGCAAATTTCATGACCAAATCCGAATATCAAAGGAAAATGCACAATAAACTGAAACAGTGACTAAAATGAAATAAATATAAATATCACAACCAAATTATAATATCAGCAAACATAATATACAAATTAATGACTGAAATGCAATCATTAAAAACTAAAAGGCTCGAAATAAAACAGTAATAATTTCATTAAATGACTTAAATAAAGCATTACAAAGGAGAAAGGACTTAAAGTGTAGTTACCCCATGCTTGCAAAACATGGGTGCCCAGACCCTTGAAACGGCCCCGTTTTGAAACCCGTTTAAATACCCCCTATATATGTTTGAAAATTCATCTCCCTTCATTCATCTCCCCTTCCATTTCACAGAAAGAGAGAAAGAGAGGAAGCTCTCTGGAGCTTCAACCGAAGCCCAGAATCTGAGGAGGCTTCGCCGTGCCGGCCGCCGTTGGTCGGCGATCACCGCCGTACGCCGCCTCCAGAAAAGAGAAAGGAGGGCACCAACTGAAACGCCTCAACGCACTGGTCATGAATCCGGGGTTAGTTTCCCCAAAAAAAGGCTCAAACGCTGTGAATACATGAAGAACCCTTCGGATTCTTCGACTCCGGCGACCTTAGATTTCAACGATGGAACGAGGTAAGGGTTTCTCTCCTTGGTTCCTCTACACTCTCCGTATTTTTTCCCCTATTTCGTTTCTTTTTATGTCTTTATTTTTTTTATCTTCTCTCCTCTCTGATTTTCTTTTTTCTCTACAAAACTCGAATGCCCCCTTATCACATATTTCTCTCTTCTTTTATGTTGATCTCTGTGATTGGTTTGATGGATGATTGATGTTGTCAATGAATAGATATGGCCATGGCAGGATTAGATATGCCTTGGGATTTCTCTTGTACTTGCATCTTATTTTTTTATTGATTTTTATATGTTCTTCACTGTTGATAGATTGATGGAGGGACCTTCGGTCACTGTGGATGCAGGCGGCCGGCGTCAGAGGCTGTCGGTGAGGGGATGCTTGGCTTGAGCGGCGGCTAGAGATGAGAAGTTTGGCTTGTGAAGCTCATGCGCCTGAGAGAGTTGAAGCGGCAGTGGCTGGCTTGATATTTTAGGGTTAGAAAACCCTAATCTATTGAGCTTTGGGCCGGGTCGGTTCAAATCCGGGTCGGGCTCCAGTTGGATTTTGGATCTTGGGGTTGGGTCACTTGTGAACTTGTATGTATTGGGTCATGTCTGTTGGGCTTGGTGTTTGGGGTCAGATTGTGAAGCCTACAAAAATTGTGACATGTAAATTAATAATAATAATAATAATAGTAATAATAATAATATAACGATAATAATAAATATTAAATAAAAAACCCAGACAAAAACGGGTGTCTACAGCTGCCCCTCTTTGCACATTCTTGTGTTAACAAGAATAGGGCAAAGACGATAAGATAACTCGTTTTTGTCTGGTTCTCTTCCTTTTATGCTTAGAAATTTGATAAGGTTTGTTGGGGACGACACTGCTCATACATGATGAAGAGTTCTGGTCGTTTAAGGGTGATACGGTTCCTACGTGATGAGGAAATCTGGTCGGGGGATGACACGACTCATACGTGATGAAGAGTTCTGGCCATCTAGGGGTGGATGATAACTCGGTTCCTACGCGATGAGGACGGCTGGTTATCTATGGTTGACATGGCTCCTACATGATGAGGAGATCTGGTCAGGGGATGACACGGTTCCTATGTGATGAGGACTACTGGCCATCTCTAGGGATAATGGTTTCAAGGGAGACCAACTCAAAGATGTGTTTCAATAGAAACAAACTCAAAAATTGGATTTTGATAAAAATTGTCTCAAGGGAAACAAAATTCGTTTCAAGAGAAACGATCTCAAAGATATTTGCTTTGTTTCAAGTGAAATAAACTCAAAGATAAGTTTTTCAAAAGCAACTGTCTCGAAAGAGACAAAATTCGTTTCAAAGGAAATAACCCAAAGATGGCATTTAAAGGGAATTGTCTCAAGCGAGACAAAATTTGTTTTTAAGGGAAACGTTCTCAAAGAT